GAACCTACTGAAGCCAGGCCGGCCCCGGTCAGGCGCATGTGGCAATGTCACCATGACATTAAACATCTTCAACAACAAGGACCCGGGAATGAGGAAAGGGTTCTCGCCCTCAAGCAGGAATTCAAGGACCTCCAAAAACAAATACGCAACCATAGCCAGACCAAGCGCAAACATTACCTTGAGGAACGAGTGAAACTCGCAACTGAAGCGGCGGAGCGGGGCGACGCTAGGGCCCTACACCAGCAAATCAAGCGCATAACGCCGAAGATTCCCAAAAGAAAAGTGCACCTGCGTGGTAAGGAGGGTCAATTGCTCTCCACGGCTCAGGAACTACGCCTTATCAGTACGTACTGGCAGGACCTCTACACTGGTGAAACGATCACGCGGCCAGTCACATCCCAAGCCGTCCAAATCACCCTGAATGAGGCATGCAGAGCAATTGCCAGCTTGCCTAGCCATAAGGCCTTGCCCAAGCACTACACCTCAAGCGAGGCTTGGAAACTCGCTGCCAATCCACTGGCGGCCCCGCCCTGATGGGCGTGGCCTGCGAGTTTGTCCGACTCTCGCCTGAAGTCCCCACGCCTTGGCGCAGAAACACCTGGCCAAAGTCATCCCTCATGCCGATATTGAGAGTATGGCCAGAACCCCGCGGGGCGGTGACGACGGCCGGGTCGACACTGCTCCAGCAAAGGGAATCAAGGCCCTTAAGCAACAGTGCTGCCGCCGCCTTATCAATGGGGTGGAGCCCCACCTAACCAACTTACCGATCCTCGACATGTTCCTGCCGGCTCTGCCCCTAGACCGTCTGCTTTCGGCAAGGCCTTGGCCAAATCTGAGTAGGCATAACCTAGATGCAGATTCACCGCACCGTGGGTGCAGGCGAAGAGCTTGGCTCGCCTTATCTCGTTGTCATCGAAGGGAAGGGGGTGCTTATCCTTCTCCTTTCTCGCTGGGACTCGGACTACCAAGCCACGGACATTGTCGTGGCTTTTCGTCAAGAGCCCATCCACGGTCTCTGCAAAGGTGCGAACGGATTCGTTCCCATGCGCCGTGTATAGGACGCTGCGCTGTGCCATGCCCGTGAGGAGAACTCCCATGAAAGCACATGCTCGTGTCTTGCCGCTGCCAGGAGCTCCTGTGACGTGGACAGCAGTCCTGTTTGCAGCCAGAGAAAAGGAGGAGACACCAAGCAGGGCAGCCAAGTGCCCGTCCGCCCCCCACATGGTGTCGCTCAAGCGAATTAGGAAGCTCGGGCCAACTGCCAGGGCGAAAGTGGCAACACGGGTTCTTGGATCCATTGCCTCGTCGGCTGGATGTGCCGGGATCCTCAGGGCTCTGGGATTCCAGGCGGCATGGGACTGGTGGGGAGCTCCACCAGTGTGGCAGGCCGGCTAGGTGTTTAGAATGTTGGCGAGGAGTATGGGGACCATTCCATTGAGTAGCGCGGTGAGCCACTCACTCGCAATAGCCTGACCGGCGTCCTCGCGATCCTCATGTTCCGCCAGGCTTGGCGGGACCAGCTGACCTCCAAAGAGGCGGACAGAGCACTAAATCAAGCATGAAGCCAGGCACCCAAGCTGCCGGGCGTACTTTTTCAATAAGTGCGTCATCTATCGGGACCCCCAGCGCCGCTGGGGCACGCTCTTTCAAAAGGTGCAGAAGGGCATCCCAAAGGGGGGGTGATGGCACCCCTAGGGAGGACGCCGAACATTTCTAAGCATGGCTGCGGCTCAGCACAAGAAGCGACTGGACCTGATGGTCGCTAAGCATCAGGGCCACATGGAGGCCTTGCGGCTTCATGGCCTTGATCCTTCCGAGTGGAAGCCTGAGCCTTCGCTGGGGAACCAATTGGTAAAAACACGCCCGGTAGGGTCATACTAAAGCCTGGTGCTTTCAGGGCGACCAGGACAGCGGTGCTGCCCTTACTCGGCACTTTGCCATCCACGTGGAACCAGAATTGCTCAGTGGCTGACATCCGGGGCGACGAGCATTGTCAGGGCTTGCGGAGCAACCCTGTGCAAGAACCGAACCGGCCACCCGTTGACCCCAGGCTTTAGTTGCGCGAGTGAGGGAACACCCTTCTCACCTTTGGCTCGCGTGGCGTGATGGAACTGCGCTGGTGGCTCCTCCTCTATTGCGGCCTCCGCCGACATGGCTTCAAACTGATAAGCATGTCGACGTGGCTTTGCGAGACGAAGCGCAACAATTGGGGACTCCGTCTGCCAACAGCATTTTAGCTCACATCGGAGCTGCACTAGATGTCATGATAGGCGACCATACGCAGCCGGCGGGCGGCTCCCGCCCCAATTACCATTTTGTCACTGAGCTCCTTGAACGAAAAAACGCGGGCTCAATGCCATCCCGACTTCCCCCTTTGTGCCGTCTAACCTCGAAGAAGTGTTGCGCGAGCAAGCACAGAAAGGACCGGGCCCGTGGCGGAGAGATAGGCCCGCCACCGTCAGTTGGGGTCGGAACACATCCGCTGCGGCGGCTGCGGCATCTCTAACGCCTGGTGAAGCCCCAGCGCGGTTTAGGGCTTAGGGTTTAGGGTCCAGGGTCTAGGGTTTAGGGTTTAGGGCCTAGGGTTTAGGGCCTAGGGTCTAGGGTTGAGATCCTAGGGTTTAGGGTCTAATTAGGGTTTAGGGCCCAGGGTTTAGGGTCCAGAGAAGAGGGCCTAGGGTTTTAGGGCCTCGGGTTTAGAGCCTAGGGTTTAGGGCCTAGGTTTAGAGCCTAGGGCCGAGAGGGTTTTGGTAGTTTAGGGCTTTAGGGTTCAGCGTGCTTTAAGTAAATTGAACCTATGGACCTCAAAAAGGTTTAAGTATACTGAAAACATATGAAAGGAGAATGAGTTCGGGACAAACCAAAAAGATACCAACTTCACTGGCGCAGTTAGCGCAGCTCTACAGTTTAGGGTTTAGGGTTTAGGGTTTGGGGTTGAGGGTTGAGGGTTTAGGGTTTAGGGTTTACGGTTTAGGGTTTGTTTAGGGTTTACGGTTTAGGGTTGAGGGTTGAGGGTTTAGGGCCGGCTTTAGGGACTTGGAGCCTTAAGGCCACCAAAAGACTTGGGACGTGGAGTTTCAAGCCCTAAGAGACTTGGGATTCGCCCCAAGAGACCCAGGACGTGGAGTGTAAGGCCCCCGGAGACTCGGGACTTGGAGCCATGAGGCCCCCAAGAAACTTGGGACTTGGAGTTTAAGGCCCCAAGAGACCCCCCAAGAGACGCCCCAAGAGACGTGGGACTTGGAGTTTAAGGCCCCAAGAGATTTGAGACTTGGAGTTTGAGGCCCCAAAAGACTTGGGACATGGAGTCTAAGGGCTTGGGACTTGGATTTTAAGGCCCTAAGAGACTTGGGACTTGAGTTTAAGGCCCCGCGGTCGCAATCGACTTCTTTGTGTGGGCAGTCCCCAGCCGCAATCGACTTCTTCGTGGCAAAGTTTCGGGGGCGCCCCACGGTTGCAATCGACCTCTTTGTGGTGAAGCTTGTTTGTTGGTTTTCAGGGGCGCGTGTTGGTGGGTTTGCGGGGTCCCCCCCGGTTGCAATCGACCTCTTCGTGGCGAAGCGTGTTGGTGGGTCTTCGGGGTCACCCCCCGGTTGCAATTGACCTCTTCGTGGCGAAGCTTGTTTGTTGGTTTGCGGGGCACCTTTCGGTTGCAATCGACCTCCTCGGGGCGTAGCTTGTTGGCGGGTTTTCGGAGGCACCCCCCAAGTTGCATCTTCGTGGTGAAGCTTGTGTTTTTGCTTGTGGAGTGGACACCCACAATCAGCTGACGTGTTGTTTGTCGAAGCTTGACCTCTTCCATTTCCCTTTTTGAGCTTGATCCTTAAGCTTTCGGGCCGGAGGTGATGCCGTTCTCTTCAGGCCAGATCATGTTTTCGCCAGTGAGACATGCCCAGTTTAGATGTGTTGACTTGAACCAGTTGTGTTTTGGCTCCAGACATGGTGCTTTTGTGCCACATGCAAATGCGGCATGACACGAGTGGAGTAGCTTTCGGCCAGTTGGGTTCTTTGGTAGTTGGTAAAACATGCAATGAATGGTGCTGGCTTGAAAGCATTCAGCACGTAATAAAGTAGTCCGTCCAGCATATTCAATCACGTGGGTTCCCCAAAACAAGTTTTGACACGATGAACCACCGGTCGCAGCGCCGACATCCAGCCTGATCATGGCAGACACTGTGTTGTTGAGCACGATTTTTCAGCAGGTGGGCCCGTGCCAATCAATCAATCAGTGTTTGACTGGCATATACGAGCTGATTTGAAGGGCATGTGCCAATACTTGAACATGGCTTTGACACCTGCCTCAGTATTCGGCTACAGGGCTCATTTTGTAACTGGCAGGTTGGACACGGGGTTTGGGATTTTCTGGTAGTGCATGGTATGACGCCGTAGTCAAGCAACTTGCTTGCTAGGATCCGTCGAAGTGCCGCAGGTGGCCCGACATGGTGGCGGGGAGCTCCCGCGGCTCTTTTCAGAACCGGACCACCGGAGTGCACTGCAGGCACATGATGGCATGTGCAACTTTGAGTATCTTTTGGACATATGTCCGCGATGTGATGAACGCTGGGCATGAAGTTGTGTGATTGCAACCAGTGTGAAGGGTGCATAGTTATTGTTATTGTCCCTCTTCCGATTCTCAACTGACCACATGACGAAACAAACGCTGTCCTCAACTGTACCGAAGGCTTCGCTCCGGCAGATGAAGGGCCGTGTGCTGCGGCTCAGCTTGTTGCGACTTATCTGAGAATACAGTCCAGCAGCCTTCCCATTCGGTTGGAATTCAGGAGTAGGCTTCATGGCTCAGTGATTACATGACAAACACGTCGAATTCCAGGCTGCATGAGCACAGAGCGGATGGATGCCTCCAACCACTTGCCGGACCGCTGCAAACCCTGGCGGGCCTTGAGAGGATTGAAGGCCCAAGACTCGAGCATGCAGTATGTTTCTCGCCGATGTGTGAGCGGGAACAGTCGGAAGGTTCTTCTGCCAACTTCGACCATTGCATGGACCAGCTGGACTACATGCGTCGGGACGCGCTTGCAACAGTTAAGCTGTGCTTGATGAACAGTGTTTATGATTGCCTCGAACGCAGTGCACCTCCCTTGCACGTATGGAGTTTGGTAGGCAACATACTTTCGGTGGACGCAGTATCGGTAGTCCAATGTGGCAGGAACTGTGTGACAACTTCGCGACACATCAGCCTCCAGTGCAGGTTGCTGCAGGCGCTATTCCAATGCTGCACAGTGTTTTGAAACAAATTGTTTGGCACATGCAACCGTGCCTGCAGGATTGCTACAGGGTCTGGCCTTGGATGGGTTGCTGGGTTTGCCGGCAGCGCTTGCTGATTCACTGCTTGGTCGAGGACCGCTTAACTTTTGCTGTGGTGGCGGTTCTAGAATCCAGCACCCTATGACCATGATCGTCGTGATTGCTATCATGTGCATAAAACAAGAGGGGAGTTGGAGGTAGAGGACACTTCTTATGCGCTTGTATTCATAGGAGGCGATTTCCGCCTGCCGGGGGCGCAGCGGAGAGCCGCGGAGCGCCGCTGGCGGCTCGGCGTGCGTGCCACGCTGGCGCGGAGTCGTGTGGCAGAGGTTGGGGCTCCCCGCATCCCTTTTTGTTTTGCTTTTTGTCCTGGGCACTTCGATATGATCTCTCTGATGCATGTCGACTTGTTTGTTTTTGCGAGGCTCTGGCTGCAGAGCAGCTGTGTGTGAGTTTGGGTCCCGACCTGGCCTTGACGCTGAGAGCACCGGGTGCCTTCGTGCTGCGCTTGCAGCATCCCGACAGGAAGCTTCAGCTTTTCTTAGTTTTTGTTGCCTTTTTCGCATTTCCTTGAGGGCACCCCATTCCTCCTGCAATCTTCCGACTGACACAATGCAGCCTGAAATATTTGAAGCCCAAGCACTTGTTATCCTTGACGTTGGGCATGCGGTAACTGAGAGGGATATTTGGAAGTCGTGCACCGGCAGCAAGGGAGCAGGCGTTTATCCAGAAATTTTTTCGCGTGTTTTGTAACCCCAAGGTACGACCTGCGACGCTGGCTCGTGATCCATTGCGCCTTGTCTACCCAGGCCTGAGTTGAGATTGTGGTCACTCACTTTCTAACTCAAGTTGTAGCGTCCCTTCTCTTTGCTTTTCTCTGGAATGTGAGTGCTCCTCTCCAAATCTTGGTGCAGAAGCTGTTCCAACAGCCCTTCCAGTAAATACACATGGAGCACGTATACTGCATGAAAAATGATCTCGGCCCAGGCTCATCTGAAGCAATCACTGTAGGTTTATAGTTCCAAAGGAGGCCGCGTTTAAGGGGCACCGCAGACAGCACATCCATCGCACTTCGCCGGTGGTCGGGGAGTGGGGACTAGGTGGAGACCAATCCATACCAGAGCATGCACGACTGCCTCGGCAAATTCTTCAAGTCGTGCTGATGGGTGAGCCCTGCTAATCCGAGCCTCCTTCATAAACATATGCCGCGAAAAGCCGAGTTCTCCCTCCCCTCCTCCTCCTCCCCCCTCCTCCTTCCCCCCTCCTCCTCCCCCCTCCTCCTCCCCCCTCCTCCTCCCTCCTCCCCCCTCCTCCTCCCCCCTCCCCTCCTCCCTCCTCCTCCCCCCTCCTCTCCTCCTCCCCTCCTCCTCCTCCCCCCTCCTCCTCCCCCCTCCTCCTCCCCCCTCCTCCTCCCCCCCTCCCTCCTCCTCCCCCCTCCTCTCCCCCCTCCTCCTCCCCCCTCCTCCTCCCCCCCCCCTTCCCTGCCCCGTGAAACTTTCTTTGTGCTGCGTTTCTCGCCTGCAAGTGAAAAGGGGGGGATCGAGGAAGTGCACAGTTGTGTTTAAGGCATGATTGCGTGTGAAGGTGAACATGTTGCTCAGCTCCTGCTTCAGGGCCTTGGGGCCGCGGCATCACTACCCCCCGAGGTAGAGCAGTCATGGCGAAGGCTCTCCGACGATCGTTGAGCGTAGGTCGTGAGGGCATGTGAGTGGAAAGTACAGAGGCAGAGTGCAAACTACATGAGAAGAATTGAGAAGGTGGATCACTTATCTTGGGTTCGCCCCACGTATGGAAGTGGCAATGCCAGGCAGCTGCAAGGAGTTGCGGACGAAGCTGTGCCGCAGTCTTACAGGGCAGCACGAGGGTACTCGTAGTGGAGTCCAGCAAGCAACTAAATCTTGCCGTTTGGCTGTTGGATGGGCTCATCTGTGGGCTACCCTAGGAGTACAACCGACTCCGACGTGCCTGCACGGGTCCGAGATTTCCGCCTTTTTCGTTTGCCCTGTGCAGAAAAGGTCTTGCAATGCTGAGTCACACGTTTAAAAGTTGTTCTTTGTTCCCTGGCCGCAGTCCAGGCTGCTTTGACAACGGCTGCTCATGCATTTTGCCAAATCCTCGGCAAGTTTGATTTATAGCCCGGAGTCAAGATCTTGGACAGTATGGCAAGCGCTGCAGTTTCACCAGCTTTTAAAATCTTTTCAACAACTGGTCTAGTTTTGTCAGTGACATGCACCACAGGTTCACACCTCTGGCTCCAAGCCTGCTGCGAGGAGGCACGCCGTGCCACCGCGCATGGGCGACTGCGAGAGGCTCCTGACCAAGTCCATTCGAGTCTGTTTCGCTCTCACGCCCAAGGCCCCAAGTGCAGCGGTCTGAGCATTACAGAGGTAGCTAAAGCGCCCACCTCCGACGGTTTCCTAGCACGAACCACCGCCAGCACCATCACCATCACCACTACTAGCAATCCTGGAAATAGCTTTTCCAGAAGCAAGCCCCCGACTGCTCCGCAGTTTAAGGTGAGCAGTACCTTTTGGGATCGGCGTGGCTTTGCATCACTGCGCATTCTACCAGAGCCTTGACAAGAACGAGCCATGTTGAGCTGTGCAGTCCTCGTCTCTGTGGTTCTTGTCAGAGCATCTCAGACCTGGTTCAGCCTCTGTTCCGGGCCTTGGGCCTTGGGCCTGAGGACTGGGAAGCGACTTGTGGTGGGATTTGCCCCGTGGCCAGTGTCCTCCGCGCTGGTGACGAAGCACAAGGTACTGGGCATCGAAGCAAAAAAACATGTTGCGAGCAGCCGAATGCCCAATGCACGGCAGCTGGCAGAGCGGAGCGGATCGTGCTGCAGGTTCTGCCGGTGGCTGCATCCTCGAGCTGCACAAGGCTGGAGATTTGGGTTCCTGAGCTTTGTTTCTTGCCCCTGCAAGCATTTTTGCTTGCGTTTGCTCTGCTTCGGCACAGGATCCTGAAGGTGGGATTCGCCATGCCCTCATTCGACTGCTGGGGCATCCGTGTCCATGTTTCCTTGGGAGAGAGCATGTGGAAATGCAGGAACAAAAAGGGAAAAGAGAGAGCTCAAACGGAGGCCCGAGTCTCCCGCCGGAGTTTCCAGTGCTGCCTCTGCGGCGGCCCCCGGAGCTGGCCTCTGGAGTGGGGCCCTGCCTTGACGAGGCACATACGAAAGGGATGGGAAGGGGTTGGGGAAAAGACATCTTAGGAGGGACGTCTTTCGTGACAGGACTCGATCGCATGTTCGAGTTAACTGATGGCAGCTGCACATTTGCTTTGGCCATCCCTGGCCTATGCAGGTCTTGAGGCAGGCGCATGCTGCTGTCGCCTCAGTGACGATGCGGCGGCTCCGGGAGGGACTACTGCAGGCTACTGCAGTGGGATTGATAGTGGCAGCGTCGGTGTCAACGTGTGTCAGCATGAACACCTCACAGCGGTCTGTTTGTTACATGTTGCTGTTGAATCCGTTCTTGTGCTAGCATGGAGCTAGGTGGTGTTTTGAAGTTGGACTCGTGCCACGAGACCAAGCGAGTGGGGAGGTCGTGGCTTCAAAGCGTGCCCCAATGCTGGAGGAATCCCAGGTGCCCCGTTCGCCGCATCCGCATCATTTTGTTTTGCCATTCTTTGTGCCCAGTCAGAAGCTTGCACTGCTGATTGACGCTGCCGGCACGAACTGTTTTGAGCTGTTGAATTCCGTGCAGCTTTGAGTTCGACGTTGCATGAGCCCGTAGCATATGCAGGATTCGATGCCTCCACAATGCCCCCAGCGTGAGCAGGTGGAGCTCCTGCCAGATGGACAGACGCACGAAGCTCAGTTTCTCACCTTGACAGTTTAGGTTGCGCAACCTTGGTGCAATCTTGCACAGGCTTCGCTGCCTGTTCCAGAGCTGCTGGGCTTGCCTCTCAGGAGGGCCCTGTTGCCCTGATAGGTTCGGGTGTTTGTAGCCCCCAAAGTATCTGAGGTCCATGTGGGCCTCGAGGCCTCCGGGCGCCTGGCGCTCGAGGTTCAGGGCTGCGGTGAGCCACACCGACCCAAGGCGAGTTGGGATGCCCATGGCCATAGTTCTTGGGGATTACAGGCCCGTGTGTACTATCTGTCTGTACGATGTCCACACTTTTCTCTGTTGAGGGCATGGCGGGCTTGATGATGGAGGTTTCCTGAGAATTCGGAGAAACTTCAGGTCTCCTGCTGTGGCCCCATGCGCAATGATCCCAATGTGCCTGACTCTTCATGGCTCGTCTCCTTGCAACCTTGTGTCTTGTGTGACATTTGATATGCGGAGATGTTCGATATCCTGTGGCATGTCGCACCCTTATGAGCTGCATTCGGAGGCGCGCTTGCCCGGGGAATAATCTTGCGACCGCGCTGTGCATGAAGCTGTGTATGCACCTCGCATTATTTTTGTAGCGTGGTGTATGTTAACCAGTGCACCCTCTCATGATCATGATAACATATGTTTATGTCAACACACTGCGAACCGGCCTGCTCACGTGGGTCGCTCGCAGGAATAACTTGCATGCGCCGATGAATGGAACTGGGATGAACTGGGTATGCACCTGCGGTACCGCTCTGGCAGTGTGGTGTTGTATGGTATGTTTTGTGGTCACAGACCGTCGGTGTGGGACTCGTGTTGGAGGCTGCCGGCGGCAGGCGCCTCAGCGTCAAGTCCTGTGCTGCCACGTGCGTGAACAGTACCTATATCTTGCTTGACTGCATTGGAAATTCGCCATACGATGTCCATGACATGTCAAAGTGAGCTTGCTGCTTGCCGAGGCCACGAGGGCTTTTTCTTGCGAATGGAGGCGCATGTGGCATCGTATCAGAAGCGGCCAGCATGAAGCGTGAAGCCATAGGGAAAGTGCGAAAAAAAGGTGCTGCGACGTGCTGCCCTCCGTGGTGCTGCAGCTGCAGCAGTGGCTGCGGCCGGTTGGCAGAGCTCACAAGGCCCAAAGCCCGGTGCCGCTGCGATACTAGCGCTAACCGTTGTGAATGCGAGCCTTCGGTTTTGGACTTGGACCCTTCTGTCGAATCCAAAGTACTGCAGGCAATGTGCCAGATGCACCTGAGTCTGGTCGCGTGCGCTTTCTTTGTCGTTTGGCAGAGGACTGCAGCAGGATGCATGGACGAATGTATCTTGAGCTACTTTCACACGACGTCGCTTTGGAATGATGGTCTCGTGCGACACCTTCATTATTGCAAGATGTTGCAACCGTTCAACCGAAAAGACGTGAACAGGACGGCTTCACGCTGTGGCATTGAGCAGTGTGCATGTGTCAGGACCAGCCAGATGCCCTCGAGTTTGATCTCGGAGACAGCGCTGCCGAGCAGCAAGTAGAAACGCCATCAAACCCTTACAACACATGGCACGGCTGGCTATAGCTTCTTGCAGATTCGCGAGGGTGTAGGGCGCCTTGCATCTGCTGGATTGGACGCAGTTGCGCTTTGAATGGTACAGTGGACCCGTTGAGTCTCACAGCCCTTTGAGTTGAAGAGCTCTGAGGAAGTCTCCAACGTCAGTTTGGTCGTGGAGGTTGGATGTATAAAGACCACGAAAGACCCAGGGTGCTGGAGTCCGTTCCGTGGTGCCAAGGTTTGAAGCACATGGGCATCAGCCAAGCCAGTCTTTTGTAGGAACCACCTTGCATGCGCCTTTCGCACTTTGCGTTTGTTTTCGAGAACGCCTGGCTGTCGGAGCATGTTGTGGCGTCGCTTGTCAGACATTCCTTGGCAGTCTCCAGTGCATGCGGCAGCAGGGAAGTTCGTTTACATGCGGCATGTTGGCCACAGCCTAGAGGTGTGTTAGAGCCGCATCTCCTGCGGAAGGGTGGCGCGTGCATCCATGCCACTGGCTTGGACAACTTCTCCTTTGTACAGTCTGGAGGCCCCCCTGTAAACCCAGCTTTCTTTGCCCTGCAGTGCTTACCACAAGCATGAAAGGAGCCAAGAATCGCATGTCGTCTAGGTAGTGCGAAAGATGTATTAAACAGTCAGGCTCATCGCCCAGTTCAAAGTCTTCTCAGGGTTCATCCAGCAAACTGTAACTTGCACTTTGTGGCTGCAACCAAACCCAATGCCGGGGAAGCGTCTGTTTCGCATGGCAGGAGGCACTGCCATTGCTGATCTGCAGAAAGGGTTGAGGCGCGCGCGTCAGCAATGTCGCTTGGTTACTCAGGCTCACAAAGGATCGGGAATCCCAGATTCCTTTTCACACCGGTCCTTACCTGTCAGGCAGCACCTGGCTCAGGCTAGGCTGCTGCTAGCGGCTTCTACCCTAGGCCGCGAGGCAGGGATGGTTTGAGTCTGGGGCTAGCTTGAAAGGCTTGAACAGACATGGTACGACATGGTACGAGAGGCAACGAACTTCCTTGCCCCAGGTCATCGTAACAGTCGCAGCGCACGCGAAGCTGTTGGAGGCACTTTGCATCGGATCTGGCCCCAATTTGAGCTCCGACTCGTCATTCTCTTCTTCTCCATTCTCTGCTGCACTTCTCTCTGTTTTTTTTTCATCTTTCTGTGATTCTCTTCATGCCTCTTTTTGCTCCTTGGAGGCTTCGGGTTACGAGGCACATCTCGGGCGTGTGGCTTCGGTGGCATCATCGGCGCCCGGCTCACTCACAGAGTCACTCGAGCAAGAAACCCAGCTCTTTGGAATAATTCCCTGGAAGCCGCACAAAAACCGAGTCGAATTCCAGAGCGCATCAGAGCACAAGGAAGATTAAGTCATCGATTTGTGTCAGGCTCACGATCTCGTTCTTCTCAGAGTATCATCTGCTTGGGTGGTATGATGCTGTCATCCAGGGGCGAGCTGTGCTTCAAACGCCTTGACGCAGTCGAGGCCAGGACATGGCATGAGTAAGAGAGGGGCTGGGCACGGGTTGCGCGATTCTTTAACGCCTTCAAGGTTCCACAGCGAAACGGAATCCATGACAAAGCGACACAGCGCAGATGAGGCCACCGGGAAGCTAGCGCCGACGCCGTTCGCGTCGCCGCTGCGCTTCCAGGCTCAACCTTTCGGCGGAGACTTTGTGGCACTTTGTGGAGTTGAAGCGCCGGCTGCACCTCATCTTGTCACTCTTGTCACTCTTGTCACTCGAGTATACTCGAGTATACTCGAGTCACTTGAGAGGTCTGGGAGAGGCCAAAGCGCCTCCTGCTCGTCGGCCAGCTTGCCGGCAAAGCCTTGACCTCGTCATTGCTTGGGCGCGCCATCGCGTGCACAAAGCATGTGCGTCCATCTTGGAAACTGTTTTAAATCTCGATGCGATTTGTCGGACCGCATGGCTACGGCCCTTCTTCGGACTTAGCATGGCTTATTAACCACCTCTCTCCGTCAGGAGTACAGTCACGAAGAAGTCGATGCCAGCAAGAAGCTAGCCACTGCAACCACATGACAACGACAGCAGTGCAGCCAAGCCCACCATCATCCGTGCACTCGCCGCCGCCTGCTGTAACATTGCTTGCAATGGCGGATTCGGGCAAGTGCTCGCCATTAAGGCCTCCGGGATCTGCGAATGAACCACCCCCTTCCCCGCCTGCCCCGCACCACGCGATCGGTGGAACACGCAGGGCAGCTTGTGCAGGACGCTCGGGCGGCTGTGCGATGTGCTGTGCGGCGTTGCAGCGCAGCGGCGCCAGGCGTCCAAGGCTTGGTCGCCCGAGCTCTGGTCTGCATGATGCCGCGCGATGCTGCATGATCCTACACGCTCTCGGTTCGATCGCTGAACGGCACAAGAATGTAGAAGAGGCATGTCTGGTTTGTCCCATGTCGAATACGACTCTGAGATGTGGTTTGACCGATGTTGGAGGTGCTTACTCGGGCACGGCAACAGTGCATTCAGCTCCGTGACAAGAATGCATCGCGGACGCTGTGTGTCAGCGTTCTCGAGAAGCTGAAGGCAGGTTCGACCTCTGTGCCGCCAATCTTTAACGATAAATCTTTTGGCGAGTGAAAGTCGGATTACGGCCAGAAGAAAGGAACGCCGCATACCCCCCACTAACAGGGCCAATAAGCCATGCATCATGTCTCTGGTTGCCACGTAGAAAGAAGCTGCTTGGAGGAGGAGGCTGCTGATGACGCAGCATGGAAGCATGTGGGCCTTATAAACCTGTAACAAGGAGCATGTGGCATAGAGTGAGGGGGAAGAGTGGAAGGATGCGGGAAGATGAGAACCGAGGATGTGCCGCTGCAACACTTGCGAGCTGCGGAGCAGCACCTGGCGGCAGTGGAGCGCTGGCTGCGGGGCCAAGGCAGCGCTGGACACACGTGATGGGTGCATGCCTCCAGAGCCTCCACATGCGCTTCTTTGTTGAAATTTCAAGCAGGGAGCGCGAATTTGAGCATGGCAGAATGTGCATCGTCAGACTCAGTCTTCCCAACAGGTCCGATTCTGACCATGCACACTGTACGGCCTCAGACAGATCCAATAGATCCAATAGATCCAAGAGCTTCAAGCCAAGACTGGCAGGAGTATGAACACCCCTGAAGCTCGGTTTGAAAACTCCGACCGAAGCATCTTGGGCGCCAGGCCATGAAGAGGGCGCCGAGCACCTGCGGAAGGCCAGGCAAAATGGGCAAAGCGGAGGGTTCGATAGTTTGTGTGTCCGAGACCCTACTTTGTTCCGGGTTCCATGGAATGCCATTCTGGGCGCTGACAAAGAGATGGAGAGCTGTCGGGTTCCGCTGTGGAAGCCCAGGAGCTGGGCCTCAGCCCGCAGCGGCGTGCCAGCAGCCTCGAGGCAAATGTTCAAACACGGCAAAACGGGCAATCCGATTTGCAAACGGGACAAGTCTTGAAGTCTTCTACACAGAACGGGAAGAAACAAGCAACGTGCAAACAAGCGCACTCTCCAGACGCCATGCCAGGCCACCGAGTTCACCCAGAACTTCCCGGACCACCTGGAAGGCACGCAGAGTGTCACAGAGGAGAAAACACGCTGTGCCGTACCCCCTTCAAAATCCCAGTGCTGAATGCCCCGTCAGAAGCATGAAGAAGGTGCAGTTCTCGGCAGATGGTGATCAGAGCTAGTGTGAAAAGACTTGGCTGGGCTAGTTTTCATTTCCAACTGGGCAACTCCAGCCATTCAGAACAGCACCGAAAGCGATGGCAGACAAGCATACCACGTGTTGCTCGCATGTGACACATCACGTCGCAATATTATAGTCACAGCTTCGTGCAGCCCGGGAGACTCAAAGCTGCAGGTGAATCCTTCGTCCAATCCTTGACGGGCTCCGTGAAGGTGAAGAACTTCCGCCATCCAGGTGCCGGTGAAATCTGCACAAGCAGAAGCAGTAAAAGCACACTGGCCTGTTTTTGGGCGAGGCAAAGTCTTCATCACCAACGTTCGCCTATGCTTCTTCTCGTGCGTCCTTGGAGTGGAAGTCTCTTTCGCTGCGAAGTGGGAGGAGATTGCCAGCTCCTGGTCTGAACATGTTTGGACTCAGTTCCTAGTTCCTGTGTGGAGTTTGGCCATGTGATGCCGTGATATGCCGTATAGTATGTGTGGCAGTGCTGCTTGTGCGGCTAACGCCTGTTGCCCGCACATGTAAATGGAATGCCGAGGCTTGAGGCTCGTCGAGAATTCACAGGCCGGGCCGACCATTGCAATCCATTACAGGCCCTCGCTTTGCCTATTCGACATGCACCAGAGATCTGCAGGCTCAGACGTACCCCGTACTGGTGTACTTCAAGGACGAGATCGACTTCGATGGTCAGGCAGTGGGATACCAACCCAATCCCGAATTGTCATGTTGTGCATTCTTCATCAGATCTCAGCGCAAAGGGCGTCAAGCAGCTGGACCTGCGAATCTTCGAGTTTGCAGATCTCGGAGCGCTGCAGAAAAGCGCGATGTACTTTGCGCCGCGCCGGCAGTTCAGGGAGGCTTTGCCCAAATCGGCCCAAAGCATTTCGCCCTTTGACAACGCAATGGTGCTTTCTTTCAAAGCAGCTTTTGCAAGATGTGCTACACAACACACGACTGGGATGGCCGCTGTTTTCGCCTTGAGGTGGGTGCAGATTTGTTTGGCATCTACGAGGAGGAGGCGGAGGCCAAGAAAGCGGAGCCGGTCGCAGCCAACCGCCTTGTGCGAACAGCGTCGATGATCTCACCGGAAGCTGTGCCCAAGTGAAGGAATTGGGGGGTCCCAGCTGTCCTAGCTGAGGGTGTTGTGGTTGAACGAAGCATAGAGCACGAAAAAATGATGTCCACAAGCTGTCGTTCAATACCACATGCTTAGGTTCAAATAGCAAGATATATAAGGGGTCATGCAGCTGACTTGATTTCAGGTGCTTAAGGAGACGTCCATGTGGGAGTTGGAGCGGCGCACGAATCTGTTCAAGCACCACTGGAAGCCCCCGTACTTTTTGCACGATGGTGTTGCCAAGACGCCTGGCTTTTGACACAACTTGCAAAGAGCTTTGCTTGCCATCCCGTTACCCTGAATGGATATCCCAGGATGAAGTGGGTCTCCTTTGAAGGCAACTCCTACGCGCGCCATCCCTTCATACCTGAAGGGGTGGATGAGGACAAGATTGCAGCAGCTCGGTGTGGCAAGTGCGTTTTGTTTCTTCTCTTTTTTTCGGTGCATCCGTTAATTTTTAACCTGTGTGCAGGCTGTGTTTTTGGCTTCCTTGGGCATCCTTGCGCGGCTCTCTTGGGCTTTTTGTTTTGCTCGCCACCGCTTTCATTTAGAGTATGGGACCGGCGAGCATGGGGCTTGCCGCCCAAGATTCCCCTGTCGGGTTAGGGTTTGACACTCCCAACGCTTTTTGCGATTTTGGGTTGTTTCGGGCTTGTCAGCAAACATGCGTTTTGGGTTAGGTGTTGCTGGTCAACATCTCAGGTCTCCTTCTGAGATCAGTTTTGCTACCCTCGAATTTCACAGCCAAAATGGCCTTTCAGGGTTTAGGGCTTGCCAGCAAACATCTCATGTCAGGGTATAAGTTTTTTGCCCAACATCTCCAACTTCCATTGGGGCTCGAGAGTGCTGCCAGCCAACGGGTTTAAAGTTATGTCGTTCGCTTCCAGCTTGTTCTGTAAATCAGCAAAATATTAAAAAGTCAGAAATATGTCACATTGGAACTCAACAACCCAGGACGCCATTCGCCCGAGAACTCAGAAACAAGGCGCAACTCGAGTCAAAATACAATCAGATAAAAGTCAACAACAAGTCTCTCCTCGGAAGCTGTAAAACAAGCCCATTCTGGAACGCCCTCATAGAACCTGTGGCGCTCAAGGGGTACTGCACCGCCCCCAGGCTCGTGCAAGCAGAAGGCTCTTTCCAACAAGCAAGCCAAACCAATAATAATTCTATCTTTCTATAATCGCGGGCTCCAGTAAAAGATTTCATTAACAAATTTGCCCGCGAGAGAAAAGTGTTAGAATATTGGAAATCCAAGGAACACATGGGCCCTGTAATTCTATTATTGACCTTTCCCTGGCGGCTGTGCGTAATAAGAAGAGAAAAGACCAGTGATTTCCTATCCAATATTCTGATCACTTTTAGTTTATTAAATTCGCACATGCAACCAACAACGCGGAACAGCCGAAACAAGTGACAGGATTTAACGCATGATTGGTGGACCGCTCGAAAGGTTCCAGCCCACGGTCCACAGCCTTGTTCACCCTTTCCTGCAGTATTAACCGTATCATCCACATGGTCCAGTTCACCCATCACACCTTGACAAACAGTAGGTCACCAGGAGCCATGAATACTCGAATTGTGATGGAGTTTGAGGCTCGAGTTGTCGACCCAATGTTTTGTTGTTTTTTGGCAGTTCGAGCCGGCTCGACTTCTTTACACTTGAAGCACCAAGCCACTAACAACTCGAGCAGGTTCGAATTTTTACACAAGCTTAAGTTCCGGGATCTATAAGGCTGAGGGTCATAGATCCCCGCCCGGAGTCCCGCTCGGCTTTCTGGGTTTGCTTTCTGGAGTGCCCACCCCAGAGAAGCCTGCAGAGAGTCCGCCGAGAATCCTTGGAGTGCCCGCCCCAAAGAAGCCCGCAGAAGTCCCCGTCGAGTATTGCTGGAGTCCTCAGATGGAGTGCCCACCGTTTGAGAATTCCGCAAGAGAGCCGGGTATCCCTGGATTGCCCAGTTTTCCATGAGGTAGCTGCAGGGTGGTGATGATCTAAGTAAATCTTTTCGGTGCTTCTTTTTTTGTGTTTTGAAGGCCT